CTTGAAACATCGCTGACCCGCAGACAAGAATGGTGGGACTCTGTGGCACCCTGGGGCTGCACCCATGTCCCCTGTTGCCTACGTGCCTCTCACTCTGCCTGGCTGATGTGGAAGGACTGCTGGGGTGCAGCAGCTGGGAGGATTGGCATCTGCGGCTTCCCTGCCAGGAGAGAGGGCTTATGGAGCTGGGGCCGTGGGAGATGCCCATGCTCCCTGGCGGTGGAGGCCAAGGACGACCTCGGAGGCAGGTGAGAGAGAGGCCGACACTCCTAGCCAAGGCTGCGTCCTGTGACCAAGCACACTCCAGGCTGAGCCGTGGGCATCAACTGGAGTCAAAGCAGGGTCCAAGCAGCCAAGCACTCCTGCCAGCTCTGAAGACTGCACACATAAAGGGGACAAGACCAGGCCCAGGGGCAATGCCAGGCTTATGCTGAGAGGACCTGAGCTCTGAATACACTCCCCCTGTCTACATGTTCCCCCTGTCTACATGGCTATGTCGCTGGACTGTTCCACCCACATGGGACAGAAGCCTTCCTGGCCTGGGGTGGTTGAGCACAACCTCCATCCAAGCAATCACAGGCCTATCCCCAAACCGCAGTGACTCGCTGCAGCCCAGGACGGGAAACGTAAACAACAAATAAATCCCTGTAAAACAACTGAGATGACGTTTCAGAGATGAAGCCTGAGCAAGTTACTTTACAGACAGATGTAAAGCAGAAGCCATACCAATTCTCAAGAAGAGTCAGAATCTCGTCTGCTAAAATTGAGTCTCAAAAATGTCCAGGTTTCAACAAAAATTTAAGAGATGTGCAAAAAAAGCAAGCTATAACTCATTCTGTGGGGAAAAAACAGTCAATAGAAACGGCCTCTAAGTGTCTCCAGATGTTTAATTTAGCAGAGAAACATCTTCCATAAATATGCTCAAAAACTAAAGGAAGCTATGCCTAAAAAGCTAAAGAAAAATATGACAGAATTAAAAAATTGAGTCTAAACAAGGAGACAGAAATTATAAAAAGGGAGTTAAATAAAATTCTGGAGTTGAAAGTATAAAAACAAATGTATAAATATTCACCACAGAGGAAAGGCTTACTGTCGGAACAACGAGCATGAGAAACGTAAGCCCTGGGACCAGCAGTTAGTGTAATGGCTATGTCGCTGGACTCCCATGAAGTAGACTGCGGTTCAAGCCCTGGACCCAGTGGCTTAAACTCATGCTGGGCACGTGTGTGTGCGTGCCCAAGATCCCGAAAGGAGAATGGAGGAGAAGGGATTGCAGGGTGGTCATCCCCCCGGGGGGGGTGATTTCTCGCTTTCTGTCGCTATGTCTCTCTGTCTGGCGAGTGCACGCGTCCTATAGCAAAAACCTCTCAAAAAAAAAAAAAAAAAGGAGAAACGTAAGCCTGTCAAATATCTGTGATAAGAATCCCAGAAGGAGGGAACCAGCAACTAGCGTAATGGCTATGTTACTAGACTCCCACGTAGTAGACCATGGTTCGTGTCCTGGACCCGGTGGCTTAAAACTCACACCGGGTGCGCATGCGTATGTGCCCAAGATCCCAAGAGGAGAATGGAGAATGGAGAAGGGATTGCGGCGTAACCATCCCCCTGGGGGGTAATTTCTCGCTTTCTGTCGCTATGTCTCTCTGTCTGGCGAGTGCACGCGTCCTATAGCAAAAACCTCTCCAAACAAAAAAAAGAATCCCAGAGGGAGAAGGGGGACCAGAAAACTACTGAAAGAAATAATGGCCATGAGCACATTCACCCTAAAGCAAAACTTCTAAAAATAAAATTAAAAAATAAAACCAAACAACTTTCTCAGTTGACAGAAAATATTAATCTATACTTGTAAAAAACTCAATGAACCTAAGCAGCTCTGTATTTATAGGCTAAATATAAGAGAAACACATCCAGATATAGAGTTAAACTGCTGAACAAAACAAAAAGGAAACCTTTAAAAGAAATTTTATTTTTGAGATTTTTGCTATAGGGTATATGTGCTCATTGGTGTGTGTGAGAGAGAGAGACAAAGAGATAGAAAGCAAGAAATCACCTCCCAGGGAGAATGGCCATGCTGCAATCCCTTCTCCTCCATTCTCCTCTTGGGATTTGGGGCACGCACACACACACACACACACAGAGCCTGAGTTTCAAGCCACCAGGTCTGGGACTCGAACCGTGGTCGGCCATGTGGGAGTCTAGTAACATACCTATTATGCTATCTGCTGGTCCCCAAAAAGGAAATCTTGAAAGCATCAAGTGAAAGAACTCACCATCTATGGCTGTGTGTGCCTCTAGGTATGTGGTCAGGAGAACTAACATACCATCATGCTTAAAAAACTCTCAGCCAAGACTGCTACAACCAACACACCTATCTTAAACATAAGGCATGTCCGTGTGAGTGAAGGAATCGCTGATAACAGCACACCTATCTTTTTAAAATTTTTTGAGAGGTTTTTGCTATAGGGTGCATGCACTCACCAGAGAGAGACAGTGAGACAGAAAGCGAGAAATCACCACCCGGGGGGATGGCTACACCGCAATCCCTTCTCCTCCATTCTCCTCTTGGGATCTTGGGCACACACGCACATGCACCTGGCGTGAGTTTAAGCCACTGGGTCCAGGACTTGAACCACGGTTGACTACATGGGAGTCCAGCGACATAGCCATTACGCTAACTGCTGGTTCCTACACCTATCTTAAACATAAGGCATATCCCTGTGAGTGGAGGAATCACTGATAACAGCCCTGCATTGTAAGAAATATTTTAAAAGTCTTTTCGGATAAAGCAATTATTAAAAGCAGTGATTCGAACCCACAGAGGAAGATGAAGTATAACAACATATGGGTTAATATAAAAGGCTTTCTAGATATATTTTTGTAATTGATTCCCTTTACTTTTAAAATCTCTAAGA